CTTCAGGAGATAAGAATAAAAGTGTATTCCAACAAAGCGCCAGGGAAAGAAACCACACATCACTTTTTTTTTTTTTTTTGGAACCCTGAGGCCCAAACTTCAAAGGCCCCAGACCAGACAGGGGACATAGCGTGTGCTGCACAAACACCAAAGGAGATTCATGGCCTGAGCATCCCTGCCCAAGCCGCAGACTGTCCTTGTATTCAGTGCAGGAGAAGAGGCCTGGCCTGGAAACGGGGCTGGGAAAGCGCTCCCACTGCCACTGGGAGGCTGCGGGCTGCCGCTGGTGGCCGCTGAGAGCGCGATGACAGGCCACCTTGTCCTTTCTGCAAAGCTCTTCCACGACTGCTCGTCCCGAAAGCCGCCTGGGCGCCCCTGGGAAAGCACATCAGGGCCTCCCAGGGGACTAGCCCTGGACCAGCAAGGCTCATATGAGCTCGCAGAAGAGGATGGTAGGGAAGGATGCGGGCTGGTGGCTCCTGGAGGACCCGCCAGACTGGCCCTAGGACCAGCGAAGGGGGTGACCAAAGCCCGTGGCCTCAGACATGGTTCCCAAGGGTTGTGCACCATGAGGGTAGACCCTGCCCCTCTGCTAGCATCTCACAGTAGGCCAGGGTCTTCCAGGTCAGGCTCTCTCCCACCTCTAAGGGCGGCCGACCCTCCTGCGCGTTAGGTTGGACAGCCACCATCCCCACCTCTGCCTTTTAATTGCAGTTAGAGTAAACATTTCTTCCCCCATAGCCTAGAAGTTTCTCCTATCACAGGGATATGTGTAAACAGAGACTTTTAAGATAGAAGCTCTGAATGGGAGCATGAGTGGGGTGGGGGGAGGTCTGAGAACCTGGGTGCTTCAAAGCCAGGTATGCCTCATCCCCAGGGAGCTCCCTGGGGGGCCAGCAGAGCAATTTCACACACACCCTACCTGTGCACTGTTTCAGTCCCCCTGAAGACTCTGAACTTCCCTGTGGGTCCTCCCTCGAAGGTGGCTGGAAGAAGCCAGAACCCCCAGTTGTTTGGGTCCATGCGGCAGAGAAGGGAGGCTAGCATGGAGGAGGAGTTCCTAGAGTTTGTCCTGGAAAGCCAAAGCCAAAGTAGAACTGAGCCCTGAGGACCAGACCAGCTACAGGAGGAGTGGGGCAGGGGAGAAGTCTGACGACAGGTTCCAGCCCAGCCCTGGCAGAGAAGTCAGTGGTAGACACCTAAGTAAATGCGATTCCTCTCACCTTCCCTCTTTGGCCGCATTGTGTTGGAAATGGAAGTTTTGCTCTCGCTAGCAAAGAGACTGCTCCGCTGGAGGGGCATGGGAAGAGGGGAATCAAAGGATGCATCCCTAGGTAGGCAGTTCCCACTGCCCATCAGGCAGTGAAGGTTTTCATCACCCGGTGCCTCTAGGCAAACAAAGGTAGAACTACTCTGGATTAACTCCTCTCTTTCCCTCCCCGCTTTCAAGAGCAAGACCTCCCCTACGCAGGACTGAGTCTGGGTATGTGGTTGGCCAACTGGCCATGCATGTGCAGTTGGGTGATCACTATGATTCTGGTGTGATCTGGACCTCTGACCTTGCAGCCCAGCCTCTCTGCTTCTCTGTGCTGTTGCTCTGGCTCCTGACTCCACCTCCTGGCTATGAGTCTTATTTTCATGTCACTCCTCAACTCAAAGATGATCTGCCAATCAAATGCATCCCTCAATGAAAGGCCTGCTCACTCCCCAGCATGGGAACTTTGAGGGAACCCACCCAAGATCTCATGTTGGCCAGAGT